AAAATCTTTTCATTTGTTCAATTGTATCTGTGTTAGGTTAGATTAAATAAATACTAATCTTTAACTTGTTGCGGTAACCTAATTATTGCACAATTATATTCTGGTTTTTTTCTATACTTTATATTCTTCAGGCCACGTATATATGATGTCGATAACACATCTGTGTAAAGTACCCACATAGACACTGCGGTAGGTTAAATTTTAATACGTGTTATTTAAAATTAACATTTTATTACAATAGTGTTTTTTAGTCTTTGATTTTCTTGTTTAGTTCAAAAGAATGAAAATTACTTACAAACTCACAAGATTATTACAAATAATTCGAAAAATAATATCACTCAAATTGACTTAATTGTGACCTTAACAGTTAATATGCCAAACGCTGATAAACACAAATATTTAAATCTTAATTATATTAGCAGTCCGCATGACGTWTTCTGGTCTCATGATTTATATTTTTAATAAATAATATTAGACCTTTTGGAACCATTTAGATGAACGAACAAAAAAAAAGCTGTTTGAAGAAATAGAGACTAATTACTAATAAAATTGTTGGTAACTTTAGTTTTAACAATGACTACCCTAGAACAAATAATAGAGAACAGGTCTTGTACAATAACGATAATAATTTCAATAATATGCGCATGCAAGATTATAACCAAAAAATACAACCCAATAATCAAAATAAAAATTATAATTAAAACTCCCCTAAGATGGATATAGTTTGTTTTGGTTGTGGATTACCGAGTCACATGTGTTCATCTTGTGCTGTATCAAAAAACTTCCAATGAAACACGATTTAACTAGGCATATTTCCGAAATTGWAGAAAACCCTAGTATGCAATCAGAAATAATTCCGCTTAAAGATACCAATACAAATAACTTAACAAATGCAAATATAATATACTGTACAAATGACAAAAATCATAACAATATTTATAAAATTAAAATACCAGGAAAATTAAATAATCACGAAATCACTTGGACTACATTTTTAGTAGAATTTTTAATTTTTTTTTTTATTACTGAAAATAAAAAACTTATTAATCAAWAAAATTTTTTTGGATAAATTCAAAATAAACTGTTTGTGAATCTGAATAATCTGATTGCAAGAAAAATTTTGATGGCAAAAAAAATTATCTAAGTCAAGTAGTTTATTTTTTAGAATTTTTTAAAATTCAATATTTTTTTAGATAAATTCATTTTGAACGYAATCACTTTTTTTTAAATATGATTTTTGAGAATTTGATAATATTATAAGTACCTATATTTCTTAAATTATTTACTTATCATAAAATAATTAACAATTTTTGTCATGCGTTCAATAATTTTTCGTGGATCTTTCTGAGGCACCCTGTATATTACACACAGTTGCGTGCAAAATTGAAAAACATATTTTTTGACTTAAGGTCAGCGACATTTTTTATAAATATAATATACATTTTTTATTGGTCATTAATCTCTATTTCTTCAAACTTTCTAATTTTTAATCTACATGATTATACCTATACACTATCACTATACAGTCTTACACATCCAACCACATTGGACTTTGATTTTGGTTGAGGCATGAACCAAAAAATAGAGCATGATGATGTGTATGACATGTATCTGGTCAATGAGTACCACTCGTGTTTCGCCAAAGGGCTGTCGGAACTAGGTACACGCCGATGATGAATGATTATTTTATTATTATATTATTATAATAATAATATTATACATACATATTCAGTTCATATTTTAACTTCTATCACATCATTTAAAAATTTCACACATAAAAGTGTTCCATTACATAATGATGGTGGAATAGTATTTTCTTTAAAGCATRATAGATGCTCAATTTTGTGAAAATAAACTGATACTGTAAATTAATTTAAAAACTCTATAGAGCGTAGTGTAGTATTACATCATCGGGATAACATATACAGTTGCAATCGATTTATATGTTTCCACTTCCCCAAAATATAGTGTAATATATTTTGATTAACATTATCTGCTCTATTATTTTTAGGGGAAATTATGGCTCTTTCACATAACCATTTGTTATAGTTTATATAATTTGTCTATACATCAGAAAATACTTGCATTTTTTAAGATRCAATTTATGTTACTATATTGCAGAAATTAAATGGAAATYCAATATCGTACCATATACATTTTCTAACCATTTTCCATTATCGAGTAGTAGTTATTATTCTGAAAAAATCATTAAARTAGGATCATTAAACACAACTAGGTCGCTCAATAATTATCTTGTTAAGAATAGAGTTAAGGAAAAATCTTATTTCTATACACGTGATAGTTTAGGGATGAAGATCAGTAACTTAAGGATTATTTAAAGAATWAGTAGAAAATATATAAACTCCGTCATTTTGATATTTTCAAAACCAGGTATTCGAAACATATTATGATCGATGTTCAGAAGACCATGCAGGAGTTATACTTCAGTTAGAATATTTGTATCTATTTTGAAATATTGTGCAGCCTTAATGTATAAACTTTAGGTTTGGATCAGATTGCATCACTTTTAATRAACAAATATATTAAGTAATAATAAACACCTATAAAGAATAAATTTGTTTTGACAAATAAATGTATGATTAAACTATTTCATCAAAAGCTAAAGAGATGTACTGGAATAATAAAAAAATTAAATAAATATATTATATTATGTTGGTAACGAATTAGTATTCTAAGTCCAAAAAATAAATATTATAATATAATACATTCATTACAATGAGTGATGATAAACATATCATAATGATGGATGATACAACATAAAAAAAAATATATATACGTCGAGGAAACGAATTTCGCTGACTGACAATTTGTATTGTTAACCACTATGATAAAATAATATATAAATCAAGCAGTTTATAAATTAATTCAAGAATGATCGAGTTGTACAACTTCATTATTTGTGATACCTGTTTTATGTATAAAATATATTATATGATGTACAAAAAATTACGTTAATGATATTTGTAAAAATGTATGTGTAAATTATGCAAAAATAAATATTAAATACCGGTGAATTAGCTCTGCTGATTTTAAGTACCTATATTATATATATCATCATTGAGTAGATTATTTTAACCATGTGTTAAATTATAATTAATTAATAATAAGTTATTGAATAAAAAAAAAGAGTCTTAAATATAATGAAATCATGGAAATACACCATTACCTTTATTTCTAAAGATATTTTATGTGTAAAAGTTTATTTATAMTATCATTAGTAATAATATTTCTATTGATAATATAAAAGTAATAAAATAAGACATAGGTCGAATTAGTTTTTGTCAGATCAGCACATAATATCTATTCTATAACATAAAGTTGTATAGTTAAAGAATATAGTAAAATCATGTATAATTAACACACATAAATGTCTTTTGATTGCATCAGCAAAAATGAGATGAAGAAATATTGCGGAAGAACAACGTATAATTCGAAAGAGCGCAAATAGTAGTTGTGAAGAAACACAACGATGGGTGAAAAACTAAGGAAATAAACGACATAAATGGAATCATAATGATGATGTCATCAAGGAAGGAACGTAACCAATACAAGAGAGTCACAAATTCTCAAGAGATCGAGTTTTTACCAGACAGACAAACGCATTAGAGGAATTCGTGTACACCACATTCACTTGGAAATRAATTTGAAACGACTGAAAAATATGAAACGTGAAAATTAGTAGTGCTGGGCTGGAAGCCGTGTTGCCTTTAATTAGAATCTGATTAAGGGAATGTCGAATTCCAAAAACATGGAACTGTAGTGAAGRATTGTGATGTGAGGGTAGTTAAGAACATTGTGAGGATTACCAGACTTGGAGATGGGCGTAATAACTCCTAGTGTTAGACAAGGTTGGAGAAGAGCCACAGGTGGGTGTGTAATTATAAACTGACGGAAGAATTCTGGTGTATCGACTTTGCAGAGCTAGACCTACTCCTATTCAATTCTCCTTTCTGCTTTAGCCCCTCAGCACTGTTATTCATGCCATACAGTACGTATATGAATAGTCCAATCGTCAACCAAATACTGAAACGAATCCAGGTGATTAGGTCGAGTTTCATCATCAAGTAAATGTTCATCAATATGCTAATGCATGGTATGAGTGGTACTAGCGGRACCTACAAAAAATCACATATTAAGTTTGTTAAAAWTGTTATATTTATAAACAAAACAAATGCCTGCGATCAAACAATATTAAATAATAGTATTATGTAATATTAAAATAATAAGAAAATATGAATTTCTGTCTATTAAATTCTGTGCAAACCAATGACTGATTCAATTTGTTGTGATATCTGCCATTACTATTTGAAGTAGTACAAATAGTTCAATCTAGTGGATTTCTGATTGATCTGTCATATTGAAATTCAAAGTTAAAGAAATGACTGAGACACGCGGGTGTTTTGATTTGGGTATATGCAAATATCAACGTGTAAGATGGCATTGTAAGCCATAATTATTATTATTATTTCATACATGCGCGAGGGTGCGATYCGACCGATTACCGTAAGTGTGTTGAGCATTTGGTCATATTGTGTACGGTGTGTCATATTAGCTGGATGAAAAAACGTGCCAATTAAATATATTTTGATCAGCCATCAGCGTGTGGGTCACGGGATTCAAACTGGTCAAAGCATTTTTTCGGGATTATGGTAGTGTGGACAACCGAGTGGTCGGCGACAAYCGGTATCGCAGTATCATAACATCGATATAGAGCAGATATGTTATTTAACGCAATAAACGACACAACAAAATAATTGTAATACGAATTATGTTAATGCATTTTTTTTAACCACAAATAACCTGTGACRTGCTTARTTTTATTTTAATACCATGTTTGAGATCTATAATTCGTACCTTGAACGAAAGTTTCTTATTCGATTGAGGCTGTCTGGTCAGTAACAACAACAGAAGCAATAGCCCTATTGCCAAAATGGCASTCGCGTACTTCGCGATGCTGTTTTCGACGCATCCTTGTTCGAATGGTGTTGTGGCGTGGCTGGTGTTCACAACACAACCTAGATTGAAGGCTGCGGTATTGTTGTCGTCATCATCACACCATTGATGGGTGGTYACGACGCACTCTTTTTGTACGGTTACGAAACTGAACAGCACGGATGTGCAAACTGCAAAAATCAAACGACGCATTTATTCGATATACTTTAAAATTGTAAAACTATAAATTATAGATCGTTGGTGGGTTCCTCCGTTTCRACACCTACTGTACAACACAGTTATAGTCGTGGCCACACGTTCAGTCTCTTTGTTGGCGTTATCGATGTTGGACAGGTTAAAGTACTTTTCCACTACCTYGAAGAAACCACTACTGGTCTCTGGTCCATTTATCACCAACTGGTCGCCGTCCTCATCGTTTCTGTACCGTAACATCAACACGCAAATACATACAATCGTGTACGCCAACAACGTGCCAATCGACATCATATTCATCAGTTGTTCGAGGTTCAAAATCGCCGTKATAATACCTGAAAGTGAATGTTTACAAGTCGCACAGGGTGAATATTACACATGCCAATCATAAATTGTGCAATCGTATTGATATATTTACCAGCTAATAGACCCGAAAACAGAGTGGCCAACAGTGGCGTTTTAAACCTCGAGTGAATAATCGAAAACATGCTGAACATGAGACCGTCTTGAGCCATGGTCATCAGAATCCTCGGCATCGAGAACATGCTCGCTAAGAGACTGTAAGTTTAGCGGTAAAATTGTGATTAAGAAATCACCGAGATTCTGAGCAAACGTATTCTTACCTGGCAAACATAGCAAATATAGCACCGGATGAAACAATTATTTTCAACGTCGTCCAACCAAGTTGATCGTAGACGTACGGGAACGGCGCGTCGATGTCCTAAAATGTGTGATAAGTAAAAGTATTGATTAGGTAAGTTAAACATTAGTGTTTATAAATTTGTCAAAAATCAGAATTTAAATGATAAGAACAAAATTACGAACTGCCCATATTAAGTATATATGGTCTAAAAGTTGTTCTAAAATTATTTGTAAATTTAATCAGTCTCATACCAATCATACCAACTAGGTATATAAAAAATAAAATAAACACCTAGGTTAGGTTAGGTACCTACCCGATACAAGTAGGTAATTAATTAAGAACATTTTGGAAAACACAATTTTAATAAAAGCAGAAGTCACTAAGTCGAAATAGAAATTAGTATTATATAGACCGTGATTTAATATTAATGGATAAAAATATATTTTATGTATTATAATAAGTACAATGTACATAATACTGATTACATTTAAGAGTGCATTATAGAAAAAAAGTTCTCGTCACATACCAAAATTCTATTTTTTAATTGTTTTTTTTTTTTTTGTTAGCCACATAATATATATTGTTCTATTAATGAAGCATGAATTTTAACTTTAAAATTAATTTATCGATACCTGATCATAATACGGCCACATCAGAGTTAAAACCGAACTGATACAGCAATATGCAAACGTTATGATGGTCAACGAGAGTATGATGGCCAACGGGATGTCACGTTTCGGTTTCTTCGCTTCTTCTCCTTTGCATGGAAAATATTATTTAGTTGATGTTATAGGTAGGTATTGCTTTAAGCATAAAATGTATCATTAGTAATATTAGGTTTTATTTGACACTCACCCGTAGTAGCTACGGAGTCGAAACCAATGAACCCGTAAAAACATTTGGCAGCGCCCGCGGTCACTCCGGCCCACCCGAAAGGCATGAAACCGCCTTCACCACCTTTTGCGCTCTTTGGGATATCTAGTTTTGGTATATTCCAATTGTACAAATTAACTGTAACAACGATAATCAAATATTATATTTTAACGGACAGTGCATTATCATTCGCCAACATAGATTGTGTGTGGTTTACAACCAAATATACGATACCTTTAAATAAACCGGATACGACAACCGTAACCACGGTCAACAAATTAACGACTGTAAATACGTTGTTGATCATTGTAGATTCGCGGACTCCCCATGACAGTATAACTGCAAATGTAATATMAATTGAATAGTAATTTTTCATTAACGCATAGGTACAACGATGGTTGTGTTTCGTGTTTGGAATAATTTTTCTACTCACTCGATAATAGTAGTACGAGGCTGAATGACAAAACGTCTGGGTAGTCGGCCAAAAAACTAACGTTCATGGGGAAAAGATAAGTCATCGTGGTTTTCACGGGATAGTCCAACAGTGCATCGATATAATTACTGAAAGCTTTGGCAACACTTGCAGTACCTATAACGTGCGATGACAACAAATTAATACTACATATTTTTAACGTACATATTTCAATATATATTGAAATTTTCTAACTAAACATAAACTGTCATCGATATAGTTGTTGGATGTGATAGAATTTGTTTTTGTTTTTAAATTTTAAAACTTACCTATCAAGTACCTGTTTAGAATACAAAGCATATTATAATAAAATACTTTTTGTAAGCTTTTAAACCGTATTATTTTCTAAAGTATACAGCAATCAATTAAAAGGGCCACGGAAAACTTTAAATTAAAAAATAAGATAATATGTAGCAAACATTTATTTCATTCAATTGAAAGAAAAAATTCAAAGAATAAAAATAAAAATTATTATGCTATATTATGTTACAAATTGGTCTAGTTTTAAATATTCCATTATTTATATTTATGAACAATCGGCTTTTTTATTAAAAAAAATATATATTTATACCTACATATATGGTATATAATAATGGTTGAAAATTTCATGAAATTTACAATTCTGAAACATTTCATGAAATACTTTAGTATAATATATATATTTAATAAGTTTTATTTTTATTTTTAATGTCATAAACTCATAACTCACCTTCAAAATTTCATAATATTTGAGAAAAAATCACTAACTACTCATTATACTCATTAGTGACAGTTTTGTTTGGTTAGGTTATTGATAAATAATCATCATTAATATACAGTAAGTTCCGGTTATAACGAATACCGATACAAAGAAAAATCCCATTATAACGAAAGTCTTAAAAGTCCCATTCCGAAAACTTATTTTAACAATGTTAAATGTAGTAAAATAGTAAAAATAACGATTTTATATAAGCTCGACGGGCCTTAAGTCTTAACATCACTCACCGATGACGTATTCGAGTATCAAATTCCATCCAATCACGAACGCGACGAATTCGCCCACGCCAACGTAACTGTAAACATAGGCCGACCCGGCTCTTGGCACCCTTGCTGCGAATTCTGCGTAACACAGGCCTGCAAATATAGTTGTATATTATTATATTATTATAATCTATTGAGTTGTTTAATAATATTGGTGTTTCATTTGAGTTCTAATCTAACGTTCACAACGAAAGGCAGCCTTTAAAAGGCTCGTTTTTGGTATCACCATGTCGTGCCTTAAGTGCGATAAAGTTGTTCAGCTGAACAAAAATATATCTTGCGTAAAATGTAAATCATATTTCCATCCACAATGCACTTCACTCGCTTCTATTTCCAATTATAATGAATTGGGAAGCGACAAACGACTTTGAAAATGTGATAACTGCCATCGATCTCAAAACTTAACTATACGTAAGAAAACAAAATATGCTTCTATAAAACCTGAAGCAATTACTGATCTTTCTAGTATTCAATCTTCATTTAATGGAGTGCAAGAGTCTATGACCTTTTGGTCCTTATGTTCTAATAAAATTGATTATTTCTCTTTAAAATTAGAAAGTATAGTTACTAATGTTAAACAAAACACTAATGAGATAAAAGAAATTGAAGATAAATTTATTATTATGCAAAAAGAAATTGATTATTTAAAGTCAAGCTACAATGTTGCGAAACGGTTTAAATTAATYAATAACCTAGATATTATGAATATACCTGAAACRGCTAGTGAATCTTTATTCGATATTACTATATACAAAATTAACCAGATTATTTGATATCGAAGTAAAAGAAGTAGATACTCACAAAATATTTCGTATTAAATCTAAGAATAATGATACTAGAAGAATAATTATTGGATTTAACAACAATAATAAAAAAGAAGAAATATTATCGGCATTCAAATCAAAATTCAAAACAAGTCCAATTTCAGCCGAAGAAATTCACACTTCGTTTCCTGATTGTTAATTCTACTTAAAYCATCAGCTATYAACAGGCAATAGAAAACTGCTTTGGATGACAMAACAACTTGCAGCCAATTACGATTTCAAATACGTTTGGACAAATAACAGTGGTGTGTTCTTAAAGAAATCTGTTGGGGATACTGGTTTTAAAGTGCGTTTGTTATCACAATTACGGAGTATTGATATTGTAAAAAAAGTTGATTGCTTATGGTCAACAATAAATTAGAACTTGTTAATTTACTAATGTATTTTATTTTTTTCCTTTTGATTATATTAACTTAATTAATTGTTGTTAACAACACATACATTTACAATATAAATAAGTATAGATTAAACTATTTATTTAAAAGTGTTAATAGTATAAATTATAAAAAAAACTGTATCCGTAGAATGCATTAATGGCGTTAATTTAAGTTTAACTTTATAAATATAGGTGCTAGGTCTTCTCGTAGTAGGAAGTTCTTTGCAAAACAACGATAAGAAACAGCCATTTACTTTTAAACAATAAGTCCTGAAATTATGCGATTTAAACTGTACACGGTTTTTAKTAAATCTATATGAATAGGCTACTTATTATTCCAGAGTTCAATCTCTATAGATGTCCTCAGAGTATACCCTTAAAATGTTAGAGTTGAATTCGTTTTATTTTAATTTTCTGGCTTCTGCTGGTTAAACGTAAAATGATTCCCAAGTATTTTTCATAATCACGATGTATTGTAGCGTACTTATCGCGGTATTTGATCATTTATAAGAAATCAATTCAAAAAACATGGAGATTGCATTAAAATTATGAAAAAAATGATTTAATTTATAAATATATTATAAATTATTTATATTATTTAAAAATAATAATCGAACTCAAATCCAGAGTGACCTTAATTTATAAATCAGAGTTGATTTCACGTTGTTTTCTTTTCCTTAAAACCACTAATATGACTTAAAATKAATTTTCATAGTTGGGTAGTTCTGTTCTTTAAAAACGTTTAAAGAATAATGTWATGKCCCAATCTTTTAAAAATTTAGAAATGTAAACAAAATATCATAGTGATGGCACAATAAAAATTTTTATTTGTTTTTATAGAACCACGTTGACCGTATATAAAATGTGTGTTGCTTACAGATTTTGTGTTTTTTCCAAGTGGAAGTATTTCTAAACAAATTTTACCATAATGTTRTAAAACTTATACTGAAATACATCATACGCTGTACCTTTGAGTATTTACTTTAAACCGATGGATACATAATGGCGATCTCTTTCATTTTTATTAGTGTCAGGTGTCTTGAAATTTAATTGTTTTTGTGTTAAACATTTCTTTTTATTTTGTCTAACCTGCGAGAGCCGACGCAAAGGCAGCCAAAACGAATGAGAGCACAACGGCGGGGCCAGCTTCTATTCTGGCAACATTTCCAGCAAGCACGTAGACACCTACACCCAATGTAGACCCAACGCCAAGAGCCGTCAGGTCCAACAGATTGAGAACCCTAGCCAATTTCTTCTTATCCGGATGGTCGTCTCCTATATCATTCTCGTTTTTCCGCCTGAACATCACCTGGTACAGAGTTTCTCGCTGGAAAAAATAATCCAAATCGATATTGTTATTCCTTATAACGTAATTTTGATTACTGGTGAAATAACGGTGAAAAAAAATATGATGGTTGAATACTATATAATTGTTTCAATGTTGTGTGAGAAGAAACCTGATTTGATCGGCCATTGAACTATATATTTTAGAATAAAAAAAGTTTTGGAACTTAAGAAAAATATCAAAATTCGTTGAAAAGTGGAAAATGTGTACCTACTGACGGAGTATATAACACAGATAATAAGTATAAAATAATAAATATTGTAATACAACATTTCTATTGTAAAAATACAATAATAATATTAAAATAATAATAAAACAACAAACAGTGACTATCAAATGCATATTATACTTAGTGGTGATAATATTATATAATACATCGGTAACAAAGTACACGAAAAGGCTTGGGACTTATATCCGAAATAACACACTATTGGACGGATTAGGTGAGTACCTACGGACAGTAAACATGAATTTTGGTGACGAAGTCAATACATAGTGATAATTATAATAATTAGATAAGTACCAAAGTATATTTATTATAAGTCATTTTAGAAATAAATATCTAAAAATATCTAATAATTCTAATTTATTATATATTTTTTTTTTTTTGAACTTTAGCTTATCATTTATTGAGATATCGTACTTTCAACGTGCCCACAGAATTAATTAAAACTTAAATAATTTTATTTCATTCTCTATATTTCTAATTCCCACCCACCTCCAAAACAAAATGTTTTATTAAAACTGTTTGTATTAAAATTGACTGTAGATAATTGGTATTAGCCATTATTTTATTATAATAATTATTAAATCATCATTAGCCATTAGGTATTGACATATTATCACATGAATTAAATTACTAACTATTATTATACCACAAGCCTATTTATACTCTGTTCTGCTAATGAAAATATCAATAGTATTTGATAAAATATAGTTCAACCTATCATATTAATATTAGAACCAAAAAAATATTACCAACGATAATACCAATAAAACATAACCTATGAAGTATTGTTGTAAATAGGGACTGTTTACACAACGTTTTTCGCTGAATGATTTATCACTGAATTCTAATTTTACATAACATAATATCCAAAATAACGAGGTATTTATAGGTATATAGGTACTCGAAACGTATTCCTACATACAGGGTGATTCTTTTAAGTGGATACACTAATTATCTCAAAAGTATTTATTTTTTTTCAAAATATTTTTTTACATGGTTTCAAGTTGTTAAAAACCAACGTTTTTATTAAAAAATTATATTTTTTAATATTTTTTACCCTTATAATTTTTTAAGTTTTTTACTTTTTTGAATGACAACATAGAGTTTTAATTTCATATTCCAAAGCAGAATATTTTTCTAAGTATTTTGATTTAAAAAAATCGAATTTAGGATGAGTAGTTTATGAGTTATATGTATTTAAAGTTTAGACAAGCGGAGTAGTGGATGATAAACATTTTGCGGGGTAACCCAGTACCACTCCACTCTGCCAATCAAAACTTTAAATACTTATAATTATAACTCAATAACTACTAGCCCTAAATTCGATTTTTATGAATCAAAATACTTAGGAAAATATTCTGCTTTGGAATATTAAATTAAAACTCTTTGTTGTCATTCAAAAAAGTAAAAAACTTAAAAAATGATAAGGATAAAAAATATTTAAAAATATAATTTTTTAATAAAAACGTTGGTTTTTTAACAACTTGAAACCATGTAAAAAATATTTTGAAAAATATTTTGAAAAAAAATAAATACTTTTGAGATAATTAGTGTACCCACTTAAAAGAATCACCTTGTATATTATACGTATAYATCTAAGAGACTTCATTGTTTTTTTTTCTATGTATATTATAGTTTGAGGTCTGATAATATAAACCGAAAGGACGAACCTATATTATTATTTTATTAGATACGTATTTATACCTATTATGGACAAAGGACAGCTTATCGACCACTTCTTAACGCAAAAACGACGTATTATTATTTTTAAAATATAATATCAGTTTATGTATGTCGACAATGAACAATTTTTTTAAATTTTCATCTAGTTTTCTGGTGAATTATACGTCGAGCATGCAATATTATAATGTTACTATTATTAAACTAGGATACTCACAGAAGTCGACCGTTATATTCGCTATCACCTTTATTTTAACTTTTCGGTAAGTAAAAAATATAGCTACGTGAGATGGAAATAAGTTTCACTTACCTACTGGAAATTAAAAATGAACTATTTTTATTTTGTACATTTTGGAGATTTTAAAGATTATTTGATGCTTTAATAATTCAAACATTTTAGGTCATATTTATATTAAAGTTTTTTTTTCTAATTTTATTGCTCGTTCTAATTTTTATTTTGTTTTTCAACGAAAATGTTTGATTTTGTTTTTGTATTTCATCTGGTCTGCGTATATATTTAATTTTTTAATTTTTACAATTTCTTTGTATAACGAATGCACAAAACAATATTATTTTTAAGGGCATAGTTTGAATCCTAACCGGCTATAACAGTCTTCGCCCTACTACGAGTAATCAACGTACCTACTACCTATAGTTATAATTATATACGTACCAACTTCATCATGACGTCGTCGTCGGCTTGGCGCATAGAACACGATCTACAGTGCGTTCCCGTTCCTACGATATTTCGATTTACGTCACCCAGTCGACGACGCCAAAGTGCTGTTGGTCTTGCAGCTATTCCGATTCGTACGACGTGGACACCACGCGGTAAAAAAATATTATTGTCTCTTTTGGCACACGACCGTTCGCTTACRGGGGTTGGTTGTATGTCTTCTGAAAATTCTGWTAACGTCAGTTATCGTTCGCCGTCTTCACCTCCGTCAAATTCCACGGTCGTGGACCGCCGGAYCACGCGTGTACTAACAATATTGAGCTGCGTACACGCGGCGCTCGTCGTTTTATTATTATTCCTATCAGTTACTTAGTCTAGCGCTCCTGGTGATCGAAGTGGTTTAGATAGACACGCCGAAACTTTTGCCGTTGAATCGCGTGCCTGATTCACAATAATTACTAATATTATACACGACATGAAATGCTGATAATCTTATTTTACTATTATTATTTTAAGCGGGGGTGGCATTATTAAGAAGATATAAAAAACAAACCATTTAATGAGTATAATATTACTATTAAACTCTCATACTTTAGTTTATGTTTTTTTTTTTCATTTTATTTCTTTCAAAATTTTTTTATACGAAACAAGATATTCTATTCATGTTAGGTAAATTGGGTCATTGAGGTACGACATAAAGCTAACATATATAGCTTATTGTTACACCGAATTACCTTCATTGCGATAAAAAAAAAATGTTATTAATTTATCAATTATACATCTTTAACATTTTAATCGCAAATAACAACAACACAAGATTTCGTATTGAATTTATTATTATAATATGTGCTTAATATACTAATACGCCAACTTCAAGAAAATTTTTTTATAATTTAATCGCTGAAATCTGATAGATTTAAAACTTAACGAATTGTTAACCAAATTGTCCATTGAACAATTTYGAGATTATTGATAATAAGTGTTTGTATAAGTGTTTATAATGAATATATATTTTAGTTAATTTTATAAATGTATTTAATGAATCCCTTTTACATGAAAAAATAACTGACCAAATAAATTCCTAGCAAATTTATGAAATTGAAGAATCTATAAAACATATATTTTAAAAAAGTCGTGGATGTCGCTTTGCTGTATAGTARGTTATTGTAATGGATGGAATTAAATTTGAATTCAATGATATTATATCATTGTATATGAAAAACGATTCTGAGCGGAGACGGTTTATCGGTCTAGGATATATATTATAGATTATTAAAAATTTTCAAATCTTAAATTTAAAAAGAAAATTTTTTATGAACTTCTAGACTCTAGTTAAAAATAATTTGTGAATTTTCATGATTTTTACGTGTGTTGTCAAAATTCAAACTTTKAATGCTAGTAAAAAAAAATGGTGACTGTATTTCTTTTATTTTTCAACTGCTATTGTAAAAATATGTTAGGAGCCTTGTATTAAATTTTCAAATCTTAGATTTAAAAATAAAAACTTTTATGAATTTCTATCTAAGATAATTTGTACATTGCCGTAATTTTTACGTATTTAGTCAAAATTTGAACTTTAAATACTTATAAAAAAAAAAATGACCTCTTTAAAGTACCAGTTTAAGAACATTAACTTTCAGAAAAGATGCTACACTTGATACTTTTCAGCTAGTTTAGAGAGAGAAAAAGTATTTACAGAATAAAAAAGAAAAAGAAAAAGTAATAAACATCATTGTAAAACCCATGCATTCCTCGCTCCGCTCAGAATCTAAAACGTCCGTAAATATTATACATTATCATAGTAAAACCAATATTTATCTCACAGTACTTAAAAGTCTAACAATTAATTTGATAAAACCATAGAMAAATCGTAAAATGTATATATCATTTTGTATCTTTTTAATAGGTAGTATAATAATAAAGTATACAAATAGTAATTCGTAAAACGGCATAATTATTATTTTATCGTATTATGATAATATTACATTMAATTTTGTTTATAATATAAATAATTACAGAAAAAGATCAACCTTCATAAACTCAGTAAAATAATCAATTATCTATCATAACATCCCCAAAAAGTTATAAATTTTCAAATTCTTTATAAATAATGATGTATTTTATAAAATATTTTGATTTAAAATAACACTAAAGATAATTAATATTAACTTTTAACATTGACTAACATAGCTGAAAATCACATTTATAATAATATATTATGAATTATTATGGTGCGTGTAAAATAGATTTTGTATTTTAAAACTATATGGAGTTTTCCATAATTATGAATTTTAAACATACAGATTGTTAAAATATTATATCATATCTAAGATATATTATTAAAAATGTTCTACTCAAAGCTCAATATTAATATACCAAACAAAACATTAGTATTTTTAGAACAATCGCTTAATTTAACATAACATTATATTATTATATATTTATATAATATGCATCAACAAGCTTAAAAATCGTATTAACTGTTTTTTTTTTTTTAATAAATCACTAGCAAAAAAAATAGTTTTAGTTATTTAATAAATATTAATATTTTAATAAAAATTAATATTTTAGGTAAAWCATTGGGGCAAGATTTTTGGTTTTTTATAACATCACAAAATCACTTAAAATAAAACAAAATAATCACTAAAAGTCCTAAAACTGAGTACAGTACCTATTAAATAAAGATCGCTAGTTTAAATATGCATATTTTTAAAAATAGATGAGAAACCCAATAAAATCAATTCCAATCTATGAGTAATCATGCAAATATCCAAATATTTAACTGGATAGCTTCGGTTTGATTTGAATCGTGTTAAGCATAATTTTTTGCTTATTGCCTTCCAAACTGTGACCGATGCCGTAGAACAAATATATCAATAATCCTGTAAATATTAAGAAAATATAAAATTTTAAGCAAACATTTTAAATAAAGAAAAATATAATAATTAGTTTTTGATAAATCATAAAGAAATGTATTATAATCATTATATCGTTTATAATATCTAAAACTACGAAACAAATACCTACAAAGGTTATCCATTTTTGCCAATTATATAATTTATAATTATTGTTATTATYATAATAATTATATAATTTACTGTGATAAATGCAGATATTACTTATTTCCAATATTTAATGAGTTGCAGCTATACTTTTTTATAATTTTCTACTTCAGATTTATTATGTGACATGCGCATCGATAAAGTGTTCACATGTCATAAACATATTGTGTATTGAATATTGATCACTATAATATAGTAACGTAAATTGTTTCTTAATAACTAATGTTTTGGTGTATAATTTTCAAATAACAATAACTCTATATAATGTATTAGATTCGCCTTATTGTGTATATAAGATTATCACTGAACATTTAAAATGTATTGTTAAATTAGAATCTATTTCAATGATGAATTCGAAAAACGATTCTAATAATTGAAGATGCACTGTGGTCTGTCTATCTATATACGARTATACCTAAGTATGTTCCGTTAGAATATATTTATGATTTAGAAAAACCCTTGCTATGCTATATTAATTTATTGTACTACTATAAATTAAGATTGGTTTAATTCATTTTTGACGAAAGCATTTATAATAGTATATAATATGTATATCATATATTATGATTAAGTTCATTGTTATTAAATTTTGAACGAATAGTGATTTACAGTAAAATTGTATGAATACTTTTATGTTACAAATAGACAATAACTTAAAATTAATCTTAATATTTTTTAAATTGTATTAAGTTATGATACAGTTATAACTAAGAAACGAAATTTTCACCACATAAAAAGGATAATTTTTTCTGTACAATATCGTTTTTATTTTTTCGATATCACTTATACAAAAAAAAATTTTATTATTTTATAATACATTAATTTASTGTTTTTTAAGCATGAATAACTTTTTTTGTAGTTCTGATATCGAAAAAATAAAAACGATGTTGCACAGACAAAATTCTCCTTTTTATGTGGTGAAAATTTCGTTTCTTAGTTATAACYGTAKCTTTCTCGGTTCTTTCCCGCGCGAAACAGTTTTTGCAATGTTACGCACTTGTAAGACGGAGAAACACATGCGGGTGTAGCGTCCTCTTAAATCTTAAGTATATTGAATCATATCAAAATAAGCGTAAAAGTTTATAATCTCTATAAAAATTAAACCACGTCTAATAAATTATATTATGAATAGTCGCTATAATTATTTACCATTAGTTACAACAACAAAACAAAAATAACGTGATTTTAACAGACAAATTTGTTGCCTAAGTTTTTTAATTTTGTATGAAGTGGRTTTAGCTATAAATATTTTTGACAAACACAAAAAAATTATAAAACTAGACGGTATTCATGTGAATAATATTATTTATGGCTGTCACTTTTCGTAAATAAGTTGCTAGGTATTGAGAACCACACTAACCAATTCAGCTATARACTAAAAGTGACGCTAGAAATAAAAATAATGAGATTCTAAAACTAACCACACTCATCATAATTTGATAATTAACRTGAAATTCACTCTATAAAACATGCAATAGATATTAAGTAATTTCGCGCATAAATGTTTTTACAACAACTTATCTAATAATGTAGGTATGTCGTAAGTATAAGTAGATGAACTTACCACATATTAGCCACACAATGAACCTTATCCAAGTCTTGTACTCGAGTTCCATCATCAGATAAACGTTTAGTACAATGCTTAAGCATGGTATGATGGGAACTAACGGTACCTACAAAAAAATAAATAATAAAAAAATAAATCTAATAATTTTTAATGTTTTTAGTATTTTCTCAACCAGAAAACTTTAAATCGATTGTAATCTATATACAGGTTGTGACAGGTCTATTCAACTATAATGGTGGTGGTATTTGCATCACGTGATCATGTTAAATAATGATAAAATATACCTATGTATTTATTATTGATTACCTACCTTTTAATGATAACAAAACACTGATTARCAAGAAATAAATTTGAATATTAACAAATTTTGAAAAGTCAATGACGTAAACGAAATTAAAAGTCTTAAACGCGAAAACTGTTAATGAATTATGGATTATAAGAAATTATTTACAAAATGTAAATTATTTTATTTTAGTTGTAAAACAATATAATAAAATAAACATATACAAATTATAGCGCAGAGCTCTAGATATCATTACAAAGAAAAAAAAAAAATATTGAATAGAAAAAAAAGGTCCAACATTAATCAAATAGACCTATACACCCTGTATATATTATGTCAAGATCACTATTTTCTAGAAAAAAAATCATCGCCATTAAACAATATTTTTAAAACTAAATTTGAAAACCTAGTAGGTTAGGTGAATTCCTATATTCAATTTTTTTTTTATTTTCTTCATCTAACATACTCATACCTTGAACGATAGATCTTCGACGGCCATCGGAAGTCTGGCCAACATGAACAACGTAATCAACAACACCAAAAGCGATATTACATTTATTATCATAAGTACGTTTCTCGTGTTCCCAAGATGTGATTCCATACTTGCCAAACTTATTCCAAACACAAACGTGCATACACCTATAATAWTATAATATAGTTTTTTATTATAAATTTAGTGTGTCCATGATTTACCCGGTATCAAAAAACGAGTATACTCTTTAAAAACAATTAATAATCACCGATATTAACCTAATGTATACAATTATAGAACAAATTTATAATCGATGTTTGAATACTGATAGTGGTCAATACTTTGATTGTGTCAATGTTATAACCAAAACCATGGACGATGCTGTTCCAACACTTACTATTACAGTTAGATCGTGTGCCGCGTATATCCGTAAGAATCAATTACTTAGATTAAAGTAATTAGTACAATGTTTTCGTTAAGTATTGATTTGAGTATTTTCATAAAATTATTGGACATTTGGACATGATAAACTATACCTAATAATTATAAATTAATAAATATTATGAACAATTTAATATTAATGACTTTTTCCAGCCTGCTTGCAATAAACGTAGGCACCTATCTATGGTASCAAACTCTCGATATTATCACCGTGTCAAGAATGTATTATCATCCAAAAATTAATTTATAGGTACCTATATATATAGATCAACGACTTATAAAAATAATTTTAGTTATCATACATTTGAATATTTAATAACCAATAAATYGAATTTAATTTTTGAGATATTGTAACCATTATATTTGTAATTTCAGATATATTGTTCAATTAAATTATTATAGTCGTACATTCTTTCGTAGCATATGCGAGTCGTTATTTGTTAGCACTATTTGACATTAGCGTGGGTCAGTGATGTTAATAAAAAAGCAATTCAAAGTTATTTAAAAATTAAAAAAAAATAATATTTAAAGGAAAATGTTCTGTATATTATTCAATTAACTGAATCTATATGTAACTATTAATGTCAATACTAAATGCCAGTAGTAAATTAAAAACTATTGTAGCTTACATTGCTGGAGCTGAATTGGAAAATTCTATAATTACGGGAAATGTTTAATTTAGTTTAAACTGCCCAGCAAAAAATAAAGTATTAAAAACGTAGAACTTGGAAAAAAGGTACCTATTTTGTCGAAACAGAAATTGTTCGTTTTTTCGCCGCCATTTCACAAAAATTGCATCACCCCCCTTCGGTCAGCCGATATGTTCATAAAATGACATGAAAACAAGCAGTATACTTGGAGTCATAGTCATCATAGTRCATATCCAACTACATGACGCTTCAACTACCTATAATTATATACGTCTTGTGTACAAACACAAACATTTTACGATACCTGTACGACATTGGTTCGGACTATTTTTAAAGTAGACGCCAATACTAAAAATCAAAAAAAAAAAAAAAAAATGATATAAATAAACATACCAAATTTAAGACCAACTCGCTCAGATCAGAATTTTCAAAAAAAGTATTGGTTATAGACAATATTAGAATTTATGAGATTCAATTAGAATTAAATTATAATACATTTAATACTCCCAGTTTGACCTTCTACTCAGTATTTCTTGCACTATTACATTTAAGTTATATTATGATAGTATAATATTCTATACATAAATACATAATTACAATTTACAAAAAACATCATTMATTAACTAATTAATTATATTATAATATAATTAAGCAAAACTATTTTATTGGTGCAGATAAAATATGATTTAATGATATAAATTAAATAGAAAGTATATTTAAAAAATATATAACGTGAAGTTTGCCCCTGACAGAGATAGACTCAGGCAAAAAAAGATGTAAAATTTGTCAAACTTTTCATTCGTTGTAAAAACTATAACCATTTGAACGCCAACCATACTACGGACATTAGTTATGTGCCATTAAGAAAAAGGAATATCTTCCWAGAAATGATTTTTGGGAATAAGAAACATACCCTAAATATGTATCTATGCATCACTGGAAAATTTMTTAATAAAGTTAATTTTACACGTACGAGTGTAACGAACCACAGTACTGAACAGTTTAAATAAATATTATAATAATGTAATTATTTAATATGTAGTATCTCATTTTTACACTGGCAGCTGATATTTAACTACATAACTTGAATTGGATTTATATTTGATAGGACATAGCAACTATAGACGCTTGTAATTTSAGCATCATTAAAACACCCGTTCATATTATTATATTATATTAACTTCGAAATCAAAAATTTGTTTAGAAAAAAAATGTCAAGGTGGGATCACCTCAACCTTCTTCGTAGATACGCCACTGATAGATGATCATTAATGGAKAGGTCACGGCTATGTTGTATCTACTATTACGTCTTGTACTACCTAGTGCTAATTAGGTTTAATGATATTATGCCATACATTATATTTTAATATCTATAAATTATAGTTATCAACAATCCATATAGTTTTTAAAACAATCAATAATAATACACACACGAAAACGGGTAGAAAGGTAGGTATGCGAAAGGACACTTATTTTGATAAGATAAAATTATTATATTACAATGATATAATATTATACAGGGGGACAAGGTGGCCGAGCGGTCTAACGCGTCGGCTGTGGCTCAGCCGGACCGGGTTCGATCTTCGACCATCGGGCGACGTTTTTCTCCGGGCACCGTGACTTGCCCGGAGAACAAGTGCCGCCATCYCCCACTCCGGGACATGGCAGAAACCTACGGGCGCCCCAATAAAAATTCTGCCAAAACTCACCCACGTGTAACACACCTACCGTGTTCCATAAACCTACAGTACCACCCCCTTCCCAATGGCCTAAGTTGACGCGAGATAATTAATAAAAAAAAAWAATATATTATGCATACTAAATATAAATATCAACGCCCTTGAAACGTATTGGGTGTCGGAGTTCGGCACTTTTGCGTTCGACAAATTCAACCATGTGAAAACCGTGATACGTTTTGACTTGATTGTGTTGTCTTGGATGGACGGACTGTTGTCGGTGTACCTATTAAAAAATAATGTAATATAATACATTATTATCGTTTCACCATTAAAAAACCGCTTGCAGCTGCTGCCGGCTATCAAAAACGCATCGGACTAACCGCAATATCAACACGCAAATGCACACGATCGTGTAGGCCTGGAGTGTGCCGATGGACGCCATATCGATGAGCTGCTCGAGATTGAATACGGCGGCTAAAGAACCTGATAACATCGATTATAGGTAATTAAAGGAACGTAAAAATTCGATTATCATCGACGGTGACGACGACGAGTATTCTTGACTTGTGTAAATTACCAGCGAAAACTCCGCAAATAATCGTAGATATCAGAGGGGTCTTGGTCGTGGCGTTGATATTCGACAAAAACTTGAAAAGTAGACCATCGCTAGCCATTGCGTACAATATACGAGGCAGTGGAAAAATTGCACCCAAAAGACTATGTAATGATAACATAAAGGTATAAATCAATTTTAAATAATAATAATAATAATAATACATCAACAATGCTGTAATAAGTTGCTGTGGAGGCAGACGTACCTCGTGCACAATGCGAATATCGCACCCCCTGAGACTATAATTTTAATCGTTGGCATATCCAAATTTTCATAGAGAGCCGGAAGTGGAGCATCCGGATCCTGAAAAACAGATATATATATATATTATGATAACACGTTTTACTCCAACGACTTTTCACAAATATATTTTGCGATTGTATTTAATATACGTGATAATTTTGAATTTATTTGACATTGATTCGGCCAGAAATTAATTTTCTGTGCTTAAATAATCGTAGAACACACACACACACATAATATAGAAAATAATAATTGACTTTTTTTTATTGAAACCTGTGTTAAACAAATATTGAGTAAAAGTAAACCAAATTAAACTAATGACCTACTCACGTATTAAATATTCACAAAAAAAATTCTTGAGAAAAGTCATTGGCGTAGGGCGGGGGGGAGGATGTTAAACGCGCGCATACACCATTGGCCGATATTTTTTTAATATTATAATCAATCGCTAAACAAAAACGTGTGGTAAGCATACTTGTGAATAGTAAGGCCACATAAGTGTTAAGACGGTGGCCACACCGCAATAAGCGACCGTACTCAGGAACAGAGACGCGACGATCGCCAGCGGTATGTCTCTTTTGGGATTTTTCGTTTCTTCGCCTGTTGGTTAGAATAAAAGAAAATCCATCGTAGGTATCGGTACTATATTGGTTGCAATGGAATAATATAAAATATGAAACTCACCAGTCGTGGCGATCGAATCGAAACCGATGAATCCGTAGAAACATTTCGCAGCTCCCGCTGCTACGCCGACCCATCCGAAAGGTAAGAATCCGCCTTCGCCACCGTTTGCTTCGGGTGGTATTTCGCTTTTCGGAATAGACCAGTTTGAGTAGTTGGCTGAAAATTCACGTTTTGTCATAGTTGTCATTGTTGGTATAAAATATTAGTGTTCTAAGATTGTGTCAACATTTTGATTACGATTTACGACTCACCTTTGTAAAACCCAGTGATGATCACAGTGCAAACGGTTATCAGATTTAGTGCGGTAAATATGTTGTTGGTAAACGATGATTCACGAACACCCCAGGCCACCAATACTACGAAATTAACATAAAACAATCCAATAAGATAGATATCATCGACGTATAGTTGAAATATTCAATATTTYGCTTGATAAAATAATAATCAATAAAAAACAATGAGAAAAATACTAGAAATATTTATAGATCATTAAATATTAGAAAATCATAGATTTTCCTTCCAAAAACCTATGTATTTTGGACATCAAAAATTTATACAGACATAAACAATAAGAAATCATTTAGGTAGTCTATAATGTAACAGTGATCGAGACCGAGACGGCTTTTTTTTAAATTACGACTTATTCAACAATAATTTAGTAATATTATCAATCAAAGTAACGTTTTACTCTGTCATAAAAAATGGGTAAAAATTAATTTTTAGTAATAATATTGGTATTTACCTGTTTTAATAGTGTAATATAAAATTAATTATTAAATATTGGCTAGGTAAAAATAATCTCATCGGTAAAAATGATTAAAACTTCCATTATAAGTGGCTATAAATAATAAAAAAAACTAAATTGGTTATAGATTATTTATGTTATACATAGTTATTAGTACACTTGGAATAATAATTTATGTATTTTTGGATAAGTAATTATAAATAAATGGTACTTAGAATATTTTAATGTACAAAATGTAACAGTTGTTCTAACAAATATTTAAATATTTCTTTTTAAATTATTTAATGTTTCTAAATGTTAATAATTTTTAGATTCTGAACGAGGTGATGAATTAATTGATTTTACAATGATGTGTGTTTTTTTTTTTGWGTGTCTGTGTACAGCATAACTAGTCGAAATAATGCTTCAGTTTCAAACTTTGGGGGTGGTTTCTGATGTAAAAGTGAATATCTTAGGTGCATTATAGAGGTAAAAAAGTAAACATTTTCCAACAGTTTTCAAAAAAACCGAGAAAAACAAAAAAAAAATGACAGCAAAACGGGAATTTTTACGCAAAACCAGTTTTCGACCAAATAGATTTTTTTATATGGTTGTAATTCAAAAAATAATCACTGTAAATACTTGAAATTTTCATCAAATGTTTATGTTAGTGTTATCTATACATAGTTTAATTTTCAAAAATTTAATGAATTTTTTGAGATATTTATAGACAACTGAAATTTTCRATTTTTATGAGAATTTTTTTTGAAGTGTCGSTGTCGGTAAAAAAATGTTGGACGACCAAAAAAACTTGAAAATTTAATACGAGGTTCCTTATGAGTTGATCTTATTGTAGCTAAAAAAAAATAAAAATCGTAATTCAAAATTTTCTTTTATAAACGTTTATATTTCAAATTTTTACTAAATCTGTCGAAAACGTCAAAATTTGCAAGTAATTTTGAAGTTGAAAAATCATAAAATGTTTTGTGTTTATAACTAAGGATTACAATTACATCACTAAGTTTTCCAATAAGTTTTTCTTCAAGTAGCTATAGAGAAAACTCGAAGCATCATTGCTTATAGGAAAAACTTTAAGTGCTTTTAAATTTTAATTTTTTTCGAAATAGCGTAACGATAACGATTTATCCTCAAACGATTTTAAATTTTAAATAATAAAGGTTATAAAATTTAACACCAAGTTTTCCATAAGTTTTGCTTCAAATAGCTATAGAGAAAATTTGAAGCGTCATTATAGGAAAAATGTTTTGAGCGTTTGAGTTTTAAATTTTTATGAAATCGCGTAATGATAAC